ACACACCACACACACTCACACCACTCACACACATCACACACCTTCACACACCACACACACGCTCACATCACACACACTCATGCACTCACAACATACACCACTCACAGCATACATCACACACTTGTGGTCACGCTCATGCACTCACAACATCGCATACTCATACACAACACGCATCACACACTCACACACACACTCATGCATGGTCACTCCCACTGATGCACACTCAAAAGCACTCAAACTGTTACAGTCACACTTGCACACTCACATTCACACACACCACACACTCACATTCACATACGCACTCATGTGCATGCTCACACACTCATACGCATTCACGAACTCACATCACACAGTCACACCCACACTAACATGGCACACGAGCACACACTCGCGCACTCACACATGACTCTTGCCGTCTCCGCGGCCGTGGCATGCCCTTCAGGTGGCCTCCTGTCCTCTGCCCCCCTCTGCCCTTCGTGGCCGTGTGGTCTCCAGCACCCGCCGTGCCCTTCCTACAGGGGCTTCTCCATACGTGGCAGCAGTGTCTGTGGCCAGGCCGTGTAAATGCCAGGTGGGGCGGGGTCAAAACGCTGTTCCGCTGGTGCCCCCTCTGCCTAGTGCTCATGTCTGAAGAGCCCACCCCTTCCTGATTCCTTGGCGCACCCATAGCCTGGACCCAAGGCTTGGACAGACTCCCCTGTGTCTGGCATGGGGGGTTAATGCAGGGGACTCCGAAGCCCAGGGTGGACGGGCGTGAGAAGGGTTGGACTCACGGGCTGCGGGCAGCAGAGCTTGACACAGTCCTGACAGAGACACTGGAGGATGCGGACACGCAGCTGGGAATCCAGGCGAGGACCCCACTCACTGTCACCCCCTGGTGGAGGGCTGTCCTGCCCAGAGCGTGGGAAGGAGGAGGGGGGACGCTGACCTGGGGCTGGGCCTCCCCAGGGTCCCTAGAGACCCCCAGGGCACCAGCCCCAGCCCCATCCTGGGGCGCCAGGAAGCTGGCTGCACCCTCCAGTCTCAGGACCCAGAATGGGGCCTCCCTCTGCCTGCCCAGGTGACTCCCCCATAGAAAGAGGCTCATGGAGTCCCAGCTGTCATCCCCAAGTACAAAGCATAAACTTTCGTTCCCCCACCCCGTGCCCCCGTGCAAAGCGTAAGCTCTCATTTCCCCACTCCATGCAAAGCATAAGTTCCCCCCCCCGTGCAAAGCATCAGCTCTCCCCCCCATGCAAAGCATAAGCTCTGCCCCTCCATGCAAAGCATAAGCTCTCCTCCCCCCCGTGCAAAGCATAAGCTCTCCTCCCCGTGCAAAGCATAAGCTGTCCTCCCACACCCCCATGCAAAGCATAAGCTCTCCTCCCCGTGCAAAGCATAAGGTCTCCTCCCCCACCCCTGTGCAAAGCATAAGCTCTCCCCCCCC